GAGTTAGTTAGGTCGGCCGTAGTGTAGTTGTAGAGTTAGTAGATACGTATTATTACTATATATATATATATATATATATATATACAAAGTCCTGAAGTACTACTTGAACATGAAACATGAAGATGAAGAATGCCCTTACTCAGAAATCCCCTGATCACTCTCTCTCCATCTGTAATTCTATTTGTTTTTGTTTTTTGGTTTTTTTTTAATGTTTAAGTCCTAGTTATTTTGTTCAAGGGGATTTACAATGGGCGACCTTTACCCGAAATTATTATTATTATTTTACCTAAAAAGATATGTACCCGTTCTCTCTCTTATAGTATTCTCGTTGTTTTGTTGTAGTGAACTTACCTAGGGATCTAAAGTAAATAAGTTTTGTTATTCATTTGGGGTCCATATTTTGAGATATTTTATAGTAAGGTTCAAATTTTTTGAGTTTTCTTATTTTAACCTCTGAAGGCTCAACTTTCAATTGGTTCAAAACACAAAATGAACTAAGAAATTGGGCAAGTCAAAAGTCTTTTTGAATTGCTCTAAACACCAAAGAAATGGAACTTTTGGGTCTATTTGATGGTCCATCTTTTGAACCATCCAAGATACAAAATGAATAAATATTTGGCCGGTTCAAATGTTAGAATTTTGAACTGCTCAAATACTTAATGTTTTTTATTTAATTTTTTTAGAGTGATTTGAAATTCAGGTTCAGACATTTGAATTTATCTGATGCTTTCTCTTTTGTGTTCAATTTTCGAATTGCCCCGACACAATCCCTTCGTAGATTTTCCATCCTTCCAAGTTTGCTTTAATCGAGAGAATAATTGTTGTTGGCAGCTGGGACATTTTCTATCGTGTTTCGCGGCATTTTTCGGTGGCATTTTGATTGCTTTCTACTGCTGTTGGCAAGTAGCCATGTTTACACTTCTAGTGGTGCCCATGATAATGCTGGTTGGAGCCACTTATAGCAAGAAGATGAACTCTTTTTCAAAATTGAGGATGGATTTCTTATCAGAAGCCACTGCAATGGTCGAGCAGGTATCTTCCTCATCAATCATTCTCTTTCTAGTACATTAATGAAGCACAAAGACACACAATAAGAGGTATACCTCATAGGCCATAGGCTGTTCCATAAAACCTATAAGAAGGATAAAGATTTTAAGGTTTTATAAGGAGGAAAACGTTTATATAAGGTTGTAACCTTATTATGTAGAAGTACGGTGTACATAGAAAAATCCAGTAGAAAAGAGTGCTCTAGAGTTGGAGAACCTTTCAATTGATCATCTCAAGATATATGAATATATATAAAAAAAGAATAAAAAAAAAATTAAGTCCTAAAAAAGTTCATCTTGTGGTAAGTTATGTGGACAATCTATTTTCAAGATTTTTAAATATTTATAGATATGCTTGATTTGCGCTGTTTTTGAAATTTTAAATTTCGTAATTAGTATTGATTATGAATTTTCAAACTACTGTAAGGTTCTGACACCAGCCAATAAAAGTTAGACGTGCATCTTACTTTTATAGTATAAGCCATAAACCTATTCATTAAGACATGACCATGCATACTATGCTCCTGAGGGAGCATAGTTTATTTCTATTCCCTTGGTCAGAAGACTTACTTGGGAGATTTTTTCAATATGAAAGTTTGCGGACCACTTAAGAATCACCCGATCATTATTCTCAATAGAAAAACATGAAAGTCGAGTTTTCTAACGCTTAAATCTCACCATCTAAAAATTGGATTGGCCTCTATTCAATCTAAAGACATTACTGTTTTAGTGTATAGAAGGAGAAATTATGAAAATTATTTTTATTGAGGTTAATCTTTGGGTTTGAGAGGCTATATATATATTATAAAAACCAAACTAAAATAGATTATAATGTATACTATATCAGTGAAAAAGAAAGTAACACTCAAGTGAACAGAATATAATAATCATCTCATGAAAGAAAATAAACACTAAATAGAATAATCATATACCCAGATTAATGTTATTAAATAATTAGCCCGTAATAGTTTCTATGATTTACACAATCTACCTTGTGTTAACAAAGTCCTATACTATTATTGAATACAGCAATCAAACAACGAAAATAAGGATTATAATAAGATCCTTTAAGATCATACCATACAAATAAATACTAATAATAGGACTTGTTACAGATGCCATTGGTGCTGTGATTTACATTAGGGTGAAACCTATACGAAAACTTTGATTATTAAATCTTCCCAAAAGAATGAGATCTTATAATATGAAAGAAAAATAAAATGAATCAAACAAATGAATGAACCTACCTTACACAGCAAGATGAGATGTAGGGAAGAAGGAGAGCTTTGAAGAATAAGTTTGATGGAGATTCACAACTTGAAGAGAGAGACATTAACAATGTTACTAATATTTTTTTCATAAAAAATGGTTTTTCTAGACTATAAACACCCCATTCATAGACATAGTATTGGACAATGATTAGTCATGTTGTATCGGTTTTGACACACGTGTTGGTGTCAACCAAGTGTTGACACACGGTCAGACCCCAAATATGTGTGTCCGTGTTTCATAGTCTAGTTTTTCGAGGATTCCAATCATTCTAAACATGTTGAAAACTAGGCAGAGGCTTGCATGAAAACCATGTCGTTGTGCGTGATATTAAGGTTTTCATTGATTCGATAGTAGTGATGCAAGGTTAGAAAGAGGATGGTCACATAAATTATAGAAATTTAAAACAAGAAGTCAAGAATTGTTCAATAAATGCTTGGCTGATATTGCCTATATAGGTTTAGACTTGAGAGATAAGAGAGAGAGAGAGAGAGAGAGAGAGAGAGAGAA